TCATACAATGTAACAACAGAACTATCCTGTCTGAATAAAGGGTAATGAATGAACTTCTTGCATACAGTAACTTCTTCGAAGCAGCTCAAAAGTTATTAGCAGATTCTCCAGCCAGGAGGATCTAACTCTCACTCTCTACTCTCATACAACCCTCTCTTACCTGGCCATTCCCTGTTTCACTTTCCACTTTCTGACACACATTCCCACTGGGTTTTGATTTTGCTCTTTAATAAAACTTTTCCTTCCTCCCCACCACACTCTGCTGCAAAGACACAGTTGGCACTGTCTAATGCTGGGCATTACACTAAACTTCAGAATTGTAACAGATTTTCTTCTTCGGTTACTCTCCACAGAGCTACCTGTGGGAGAAGGGCTTGGGGGGACTGCCAGAAGACACAGCAGACTCCATGGGAGTAGACGCTGCAACAGCTCAAGGCAGTACTCTTAATTTGTTTCCACAGGAACTGAGTTGGTGGCATCCACGTTTATGGGTTATGTAAAGAAGCATGGCCAGGCTGCACTCTAGAATGAGGAACGGCTGTGTCTGGGGTTGTTTGAGAACCATGATGCAGCTGAAATAACTTTCTTCCTGGAAGTGAGAATCACTGATTAAGGGCATACAGTATAGACAGAAATTGAAGACAAGTCTAAAAGATTACTTTTTTGTGTGTTGTTGTGATTATTCCTCTGTTACTCACAAATAAATACACAAACTAGACCTTTCGTTGTAAAGTTGTGCGGTACAGAGAGACTGAAGGTGTCGCGGCACTCAGCCCCCACTCCTGGGACTCCCAAAGCCGTAGGCTGGCTGCTTGAGAAGGAGTGACTAGTGTGGGGAACCTTCTTCAGGTAAAACAGCTCTGGTCCCAACCCTGTTTTCCCCTCTGGTGAGTGTGTAGTTCAGGCTCCAGCAAGCCATGTCCCAGCCTCACCACGGCAAAGGCATCTCTGAGAGTACTTCCTCTGCCCTGCGTTGGGCCTCGATGATATTTTCCTTTTCCTGAGTCCTAGATATGCTTGGTTTAGCAACCCATTAGGGCTGGATGCGCCCTCACCTTGACACTACTCTGTCTGTGCTAAGCCAGGGCCCACAGCCTGTACTTTGGAGGTCTCCCTGCCTCTTACCACCTGTCTTTCTCCTCACCTGCTGCTTCTCAATTTGCAAGTGGTTGCTGGTGTTGCAGCCTTGTTCTAGGACTCAAGCGTTCCCTTTACTTAGAAAAATGTTAATGCATGTCTCCCTGTTCCCCCCCCCACCCCATTTGTCTCTTGACATTCCCTTGAAATTTTTTTTTTTTTTACATTCCCTTGAATTTAACCGCATTGACCACAGTCCTGGGATTTCCAGCTTAAGGTATGGCACCGATTGGATCATCCCTTTCCCATTTCAGAGTCCATGACCACTACCTTTCCATGGAGCCCCAGAGTGTCTCCAGCTGCAGCCCCAGCTTTAGGGGCTGCTGTGGCATTGCCTGGGCTCTTAAAAGATGGGAGCTCTCCTTTCGCCTTCCTGTCCCCTTTATAAAGCTGGTGCTGGACAATCTTTCCCAGTTCCCAAACATCCAGGGTGTGGGGTTGGAGGTTCAGAACTGAGCATGAGCCAAAAGGAACTCTTGCCAGCCTCAGGCAGAATGAGTGACTCGTGAAACTGGTGGTGCCTGTTGGTCCAGCCTGGCTTCCACCACTCCACCAAGAAATGGTTAATAATAGCCAGAACTTTATAACATGACTCTAATCCTTAGAATAATCTTCCTTATGTAGTGCCTGAAACTTGTTCAAGGCTGCAGAATTTAGATATGAGGAAAAGGTGTTGCCCTGCCTTTGTTCAAACTCAGACGGACTTCTCTGACTGTAAAGTCGGTCTTTTTGCACGGGCTAATTGCCATCAGGTGTACTTTCCCAGTGCCCTTTGCATTAGCAAACTGAGGTCAGAGTGGCAAACTTTAATTCCAGCACTTGGGAGGCAGAGGCAGGCTGATCTCTGTGAATTCAAGGCCAGCATGGTCTACAGAGTGAGTTCCAGTACAGCCATAGCTACATAGTGAGTTTCTGTCTTGGGAGAGCTAGGAACAGATAAAACCATTTTCTACCTTACAAAAGATTGAACCCAGGGCTTCACACACACAAAGATAATGCTTTGACACTGGTATGTCACACACACACACACACACACACACACACACACACACACACACACCTACCCAGGGCTGTCCGTCAGCTCCTACTCTTCCAGAGTAGGCTTTCTAAATAGATGGCACCACAGGCATGCACTTTATCCCTGAAAACCACCAAGTATTTTAAGCGGTTTGACAGGCTTTTGTGACTTACGAACCCCAAGATTAAAGTTTGCAACCAGCCTATACCGGTAGCCTCTGCTCCCTTCGGCCACATCCCACCTCCTGCTAACAGCTAACTCGTTCTGAGTTGGGCTGCAGAACCTGCCTTCGTCCAAGGCAGGTGTGTGTGTGTGTAGGGGTGAGTGCTCCCATGTTGTGGGTGTGGGTTTGGGGCTGCAGTGAGCTGAGGCCAGGAGCTGGAGACCCGCTGAGCTGCCTTAGGGTAAGCTAGAGTACATTTGTTTTCCCAGGATCACAGGTCGGTCATTTCCCTTCAGGGACCCAGACTGGCAAATTTCCATTTCGGTGTTGAGAATAAGAAATACAGGTAACTAAGGTCTTCCTCTGATCTCCCTCTCCACGGGGCGCTTCTCCCAGATGCTGGGCTGCGGGAATGCGGGATGCCGCAGCGATGGCTGCAGCCTGGGGTCCCCGCAGGCGTTTGGCGCCCGCCCCTCGAGCCCCTTTTGGGAAGCAAAGAAAGAGGGAAGCGGTTTCCTGGGCTCTTGGCTACTCCAGGCGCTAGCTCGCCCCAGGCCAGTCCGTGACCAGTGGGAAAGAATGGCCCCCCCCCCCCAACCCCTTTGCAGGGCATTAGAAAACTGGCAGGAAATCTCTCCTTCTGAACCAGGGACAATGGGTACCGGCTAAAGGGAATTCAAGTGGAAAACTCCATGACTACTCAGGGCCAGCGCACAGAGGTTTACTCTGGGCTTTAGGGCCCTGTTTCTTGTCGGAAAATGACATCGTCATGATATTTCTTCAGTAAACGTTTGAATGAATGTTCTCCGCAGATGGACCTATAACCTTTCTCCGATGGACCTGGCCCATCTGCCCGGTACAGCATTCTGCTCTTCCCTAAGTACAATCAGGACGAGTGATGCCACTTCAAAAATGTTGCAAGACTTGTTACGTTTTCACACTAACTTTTCTTATAAAAGTACTTTCGAAAGAATACCATCTCACACTGGGCTTTGGGTGTCCAACCCAAGGTGTCTGCACACCAGCGAACAATTAAGTCATTTAAAGAATATTTTCCATTGGGGTAAAGAGAATTTCTGGGCCAAAGCCACAGAAGCACTTTTCTCTCCTTGTCGGTTACAGTTGTTTGGCGCAGTGTTTTGTTTTTTCGTTTGTTTTTGTTTTTTGTCTCAAAGGTAAGTGGACCCTGTGAAAACATGAGCAGGTCCATAATTTGGCTTGCTGTTGAGCAAGCCTGTGAGCGTATTGGGTAGGAATGGGGGGCGGGGAACGAAGCATTTAGAAGAGGAGCAGAAAGCCCGAGGCTGCCACAGGCACATGCCATAGGCAAGTTCTACCCCTGCGGCACCTGCTTTCCCCCTGGTGAGCTGCCAGCTAGGGCTTTCCTTGAAGCAGTTACTGTTTTAAAGAGGTCCGGTAGAGTTAAGGGTACAGAGGTCTTCAGTCGCGACATTTTAGAACAACTTGAGTCAATTACACTGACACATTATTAAGAAAATGGAGATGTCACTGGGGGGAAATGAGGGAGGGTCAGGAGTAGGGCGGCAGAACAGTGTGCCTCTAGAATGCATAAGGCCAAGGGTGCACAAGCATTCATGAGTGAGTGCATGAACAGGTTGGCTTCCACATGGAGAGCAACTTTGTGTGGAAGAGGAGGTGCCTTTGGGAAGCTAAGACTCACATGTTTGAATATTTAAGGACTTAAGGCAAAGGGCACTGATGACAGAGAAAAGAAATGTATCTGGGAACAAACTGTTTCAAAAACAGGGATTCCTTACTTTCTCTTTCTTCAAGGACAAGGAGGAAACTGTCTTTTTTCATGGTTATATTGCCATTTTACTTTTAGGACCTAAACACGGGGCCCAAGTAGTGCTATGTAACAATTGTGGATCCATCAGATTTTTGTGTTTGATTACTAGTTTGATGACCCTAATCACTGTTTACATGACTTAACAGGAGAAACAGGGAGGTTCAAGGCATTTCTGGTGTTTTATCACATAACTGTTGACAAACTCAGTAGTACGTTCCTTTCCTTAACACTGAAGAAAGTTGTGTGTCAGTACAGATAGGTGTGGTTGGCGTATGCCATAGTTACAGCTACTTAGGCCGAGGATGGAGTGCCATCAAAGCTTCATTTCCACACCAGTCCAGGCAGCACATCAAAATCCCACCTCAAACGACTTTACTTGTGAAGGCGTGCAGCAGCGTAGTATGCCTACGTACGTGTGTGTGCAATACACATTACAGTAGCAATGTGTGTTAGTACACATTATAATAGTGTATTATACATAAATACATATCTGTACATGTAAATGTGTATGCTATGAAAAATAGATTAGGAAAAAAAAAAACCCGAAAGAAAGATTCAGTGATATTACAAATCATAACACTGTATCCTTTAAAATTATATCAAGAAAACATTGGGAGAATTACCACCAGTGGGGCCAATTGCCAATTAACATTAGCATCTTTACTAATATTACTAGGTATTGATAGTTATTACTAATAATTAATACAGAGTACTCGAACAGGCAGTTAACATTTTTGCTGTGAATGTATGTTCTTGAATTATTCTTTTATCAGATTGTGGGCCTACTGTATGAAGCACACTGTTCATAACTTTGGCTTATTTGATTGAAAGCAAAACGTCACAGAATAAAACAAAAACACAGAGCCAGGAAGTTGGGATGTTTGATATACTGCAAATATTTTTTTACTGCATTTAATCTATTTAAGTTTAATGAACACGGAAGTTGCTATGACCGAGTGGGTTTTTATTGCCAGCAAGCGGTTACACTTGGGAAAGTACAATATGTTGATGGAAGCACACCTGGAGATGTACACATGAAAAAAAGAATGCTCAGAAAGAAACAAGGTGTAAGCCTGTGGATAATCTAGTCTACATTAAGGTGTGACACTCTTTGAAGTCCAGGGTTACACCTGCAGACAAATCCAGAGTTATGAAGACCAAGGCTACAATTTTTACACACCACAACACTGGCAAATTAACTACAGAACAAACTCCGTACAGAACATATAACTGGGAGGCACACCATTTTGACAGAAGTACAAGAGTTGATGCCGTGACTGGAGGAGATGGCTTCTCTTTATGATGTTGTGTCATGGGAGATGCATATCTCATATGACACACAGGACGTATTTTGATATGACTATTAAAAAGAAAGGTCAAACATACTAACAACAACGGACAGAGAAAACAAAACAAAAAGGCAAGAGTAGTTCACAGCCCAGTCATGAACACAGCCAATTTTAAGTCAAGCTATACATATAAATATGGTTTTCTATCCAAAAATACTTGGCTTTTTTCTCTTTATCTCCATGTTCACTTTCTAAGGATATCGAAGCATTTTTATTTGGCCAAGACAGTAAATACAAGGACAAGCACAAAAAAAGGCTGAGGTCTTCCTTCCTTCTGCAGAACTGTGTGTCATCAGCCTTCTTCTTCTTCATCACTGTCCTTCATGGTAATGCCCTGAAGGCCACCTCCTTCTGACACAGAGGCTGTGGCCTCCTCCACAGTTAAACGTCTGTGCAGCGTATCATAAGTCTTACTGTTCAGCGTTCCTTCCAACACACCCTGCAGTCGGAAATCCCTGTAGGTTTTCTAGAAGAACAGAGCATTTGCTTTGATCAGTTAGATGCGTGCACAGACATACATGCTTATATGTGCAGACGTATGTTTGTGTACACTAAAGACATTTTAGAAATCCGGGGAAAATCCACTAACGGATGCGCACTGTGGCTCCCCACGGCGATCACCTTGCTAGTATATTACTGAGGAGAAGACAGAATGAGTGGCGACCAGGGATACCTCTAGTCAAGCTGAAGTTCTATGGACAGATCAAAATGTTGTGACTACCACATGACACACTAATTCCCCCTCTTCAAACATTACTAATTGCACAGAGTTTATTATCAAATAATATGTAACAAAGGTAACATGATATGTTTATGTGCATTTTTAATAGGAAGGATTTCTTAGTCTTTCCTTTACTACTGAAAAATAAACTTAATTTTAGAAAATATATTAGTTTGGGAGGCAGGTGTTAGAGGAGAAAATTAATCATATTATGAGTTAAAGAAGTTCATATTTTATGCTCTTATGAGTTACAAAATGTATTTACTTTGTTATGCTACTGGAAAGTTATATTTATATTATGACTATAAGATTTTTACCCCATTTCTTTGAAATGTTTTTAGAACAATAAGTGTCACAATTCTGGGGAAATTTTTCCATAGTTAAGAAAATAAAATGAGCATTTATATCCTTTGGCCACATAATAAGTCCTTCTATTACATGTTAGAGCTGTCATTTATGGACTGCATATAAATAGAATTCAACGTTATTGTCTCCTTCTCTAGTGGTTCTTTTTTAAAACTTAAATTCACATTTATTGGTTTCATGAGTATGTCTCTCTCTCTCTCTCTCTCTCTCTCTCTCTCTCTCTCTGTGTGTGTGTGTGTGTGGCTATGAGAGGATAACCAGTTAGAGCTGGTTCTTTTCTTTGACCATATAGACCTTGGGGATCAACTCAGGCTGTCAGGCCTGACAGCAAGTACCCTTTATACACTGGACCATTTCATTGGCTAACCTATCGTGACTCTTCCATTTTTTTTTCTTATGGGATTTAAAATGTGTAACCTTTAAAGCTTCCCTTATGTTTCAAGATATTTAAATTAAATCATTTTCATGTATTTTCCATGACTTAACAAGATTGTTTAATAGTTGTATTAGTATTGATTTTGAAAGTGAGGGGAAAAAAATCTACTTATTTAAATGGAGAAACCAAGAACTCATAAAGATACTCCATTCTGTGGGGGAATTCTGAAAGGCATTGTAAATTATGAGCATCTTTTAGAATCAGACAGACTTCAATGGATTTCTCAAAGTGTCAGCTGATGTCAATATGCCATTGTTCTAAGTGATTGATGGCATATGTAGTTGTTGTATTTTTAAAAATACTTAATAAATGAAAACAAGTAACAGGGCAGGAGTCTGCCACAGAGGGCCCCTGAAAGACTACCTAGCAGTATATCAAAACAGATATTGTGACTCATAACCAAACCTTGGGCAGAGTACAAGGAATCATATGAAAGAAGGGGGAGTTAGTATGACCTGGAGAGGACAGGAGCTCCACAAGGACCAAATATATTTGGGCCCAAGGGTCTTTTCTGAGACTGTTTCTCCAACCAAGAACCATGAATGGATATAACCTAGAACCCCTGCCCAGATGTAGCCCATCGCAGCTCAGTATCCAAGTGGGTTCCCTAATTAGGGGAACAGGGACTGTCTCTGACATAAAATCTGTGGCTGGCTCTTTGACCTTCTCCTCTCCCCAAGGGAGGTGCAGACTTTCTAGGCCACAGAGGAAGACAATGCGGCCAGTCCTGATGAGACTTGATAAGCTAGGGTCAGAGGGAAGGGGAGGAGGACCTCCCCTATTATTGGACTTAGAGAGGGGCAGGGAGGAGATGAGGGAGGGATGGTGGGATTGAGAGGGAATGAGGGAGGGGGCTACAGCTGGGATATAAAGTGAATAAACTATAATTAATATAAAAATAATAAAATTTAATTAAAAAAAGAAAAAAAGTCAAATCAGGAGGGACATTGTATCTCATCATTGCCCAATATCATAACTCCAGCAGAAGGAATATAATGAAGAGGAGCTTGATTTTGTTAAATACAGTAGACATGGTGAACTTTCCTCTATTGGAACATTCTGAAAACCCCAGAACACCCCAACATTTGTACTAAAGGTACTTATCACATGAGGAAAGGAATTGCATATTCCTCCTCTCATTCCTCACATGTGTTCTCTGGGCAGTACTGTAGGCAGTAGAAGCTCAAGAGCTGCCTCAGTTTACCCTCCTATCCTCTTTCCTTGACTTGTGTCTATGGTCTCATTTAGTTTTAGAGGTGATATGTTAATGGTAAGGGTGGCAGACGATGCACTTTTCCTCATTTGATCACTCAATAGAAATAAAATTCATGTTAAAAAAGCATCACCAATGTCTAAAAAATAAGGTGAAGTCTGACAATGGCTTCATGGCCTCAACAAGGACGGCTTAAATTCAGAGAGCATTTTGTCTTAGATGATCAAATCTATTTCCACTTAAACTTCAATAGCTTATTTAAGACAATACAGTTTGCCACCCTCATACTCTCTAAGTGGAATAACTTATTATGATGTACTCATAAGCTGACTTCTGATTCATAAGTTACTCATAAGAACCACTAATGTAGCATAGCTTTATGATAACAAATATCATAATTCATATTTAAAGCCAGAGAAGTAACTCTGAAATTTGAATTTTGTTTAGAAAATGTGATAGCTAGTACATATGGCATAATTCCCACAAACATTTGTATTAAAGCCTATTGTTGACTTTTTAATTAGATTAAAATTACATTAACTGAGCTGGAGAGATGGCTCAGTGGTTAAGAGCACTGGCTGTTCTTCCAGAGGTTCTTGAGTTCAATTTCCAGCACCCACATTGTGGCTGACTCAAGACCATCTGTAATGGAATGCAATTCCCTCTTCTGGTGTGCATGAAGGCAGAGCATTCAAATAAGTGAATAAATAAATAAATAAATAAATAAATAAATAAATAAATAAATAAATCTTTTAAAATCTACATTAAGCATACAACACTCAGACTACACACTTACAGATGAATAATGATATGCTGTATTGTGCCACAGTCAATTACTTACTTACTAAGTTTCTACATTTGCCTTTCTGATTTTATTGGAATGACTCCCCTTAGCCTTAGTTTAATTATTATTAAGTCAGCCCTGACAGATTTAAACCATGGCTTTGAAGCCCCAAAGGCTTCCTTATGTAAATATGGATACTTAAGACCATTTCCTTATTCTGTGAGCAAGAAACAAGGTGATATGCAATGAAGATCCTTGCAAACTCAATTCCTAAAATGTTTCCAGCACTTAAACACTCTGAGTCTTCCACACTGGTGAGGTTGCCTTTTCTTTAAGACAAGGGCCTGCCACAGGGCACTGCATGGTTCTCTTCTCCTAGCAAAACAAGCAGCTGGTTTATATTAGTTGCTTCAATCTGTTTATGGCCACTAGGGAGAACATAAATCAACAGCCATTTCGATTACTTGGGGATTTAACATTTCACAGAGTTAATTTTTTAGTGCCAGATTTACTGGCCTTCCTGGCATTTCTCCTTTAAACAAGTGAACCAATTACTGTGTACTGTCAGTGGACAAAGTTGACTCTCGTATGTATCCTTTTCAGGTCTTTCTGGGCTTCGAACAACGGTCATGCCTGTGAGTTGTAAGGAGAGGAAGTAGAGTCTAGTTAAGCTGAGAGGTTTGTGGTGGAATGCAGGCCAAACCTAAATGATCTCGATAGAGGGGAGGGACATTTAAGCAGCCTTTAAAATTTGTATAGTCCTTCTTAGACACTCAGTGGAAAATGATTATTAAAAACAAAATCACTATAATGAACAAAGATGATTATTATGAACGAAACCAAAATCAGTTCTAAAGAACTGATACATCCATGTATGATACTGGTTTAAGTTTATTTATATTTAAAGTAGGGGAAATGATTAAAATGTGAAATTATTACTTCACCCTTGGTCTTCACTATGAAAAAATATTAATTTTAATTACTAAATAGAGTTCTATGACTTGATTAAATGTATAAACCAGAAAGCTTTGGCCGAGCTCGTAGAGAGCTAAATATGTGCTGGGGCTGGTAGCAAAGGTCCTGTGGCCTCTCTGGTATTTGGGAAGCTGAGACAGGCTGGTCCTGGGGTGTTCAAGATCTGCCTGGGTGACAGAGAGAGTCTGATGTTAGTTATCCTAGCCAACTTAGCCAACAGTGTCTCAAAATAAGAAATGCAGAATATGGACTGGGGATATAGTTCAGTGACAGACTGCTTGCTGACCACAAAGGAGGTCCCAGAGACAGCCTCCAGCACAGAAAAAAGTAAAACTAAAATAAAGTCAAACACTTAGGAAACTTAATTGCATACTTACTAGCTGTCATTATTTATAGTCATCAAAGGAGATTATTTTCAAATAAGAGAACCCTGGATGAGAAGCACAATGAGGCTGTTGTAATACTTACAGTTATTAACTGAGCTTTCATGTTAAACTATCCACTTATGGGACGATGTATTCTCTTAGCATATTTCGTGCACAGGTTATTAACTATTCTTATGTTGTACACTTTGAGTATAGGCTATTTTTTTCAACCATATTGCAAGCTGAGAAACGGTGCACGTTCTTTATCTGTTAAGAAGCATTACTATAAGAAAAGAAGTAGCTTTGAAGAAACAAATGATGGGAAGTAAGAGAAAAGACCATTTTAATTCCCCAAACAAAGTGATTAGCTATCAACTGATGGTTGGCAGAATATATGACTTCTGACATACTAAATGTGATAGACAGAAGCTTGAAATGTGGCTTCCGGTGAAGCTGGCCAACGGGCCCCACTTAAGTAACAGTATAGACTGTGACATCAACAGATATTTGCATATGTAAGATAAACACATATCCTGATTGTCTTTTATGCAAAACAAACTTCCCTTGAAAACTGTCCAAGTCCCATTTATAGCAACAAGGAAGAGATGATGGTGAGGTAAGCCACGTCTGAGTGTGTCATGGTATGGTGTCAGTTCTTTGTAAAGTAAATAATACCTGCTCGGAGGAAATGAAGACATTTTGTTTTTTAAATGAAATTATGTGGCTGGAGTATCAAGATGTCCCACGTGGCAATAATTTTACTTGTTATTGGTCACTAATCATCATTACGATTATTACAGCATAGTTTGGTTTCTACTTTGAGACAAATTTCCCAAATCTGATTTTGGAATAGAATTCATTCATAGCTCTGACTTGCGGTAACTTGTGTGTCTGTGGCACCAAACAATTTGTATTTGAATTAGACTATGGGAACCTAAGAGAATGATGGTAATTTTTTTTTATTGGGAACGGAAATTTCTTTTAATGCTGTAACTCAGTGGTACCTGGAGAACTTCAGCATGTACCAGAATCTTCTAGAGACTGGTTAATGGATAGATTGCTGGGTCTTATCATTAATTCCTGGTTCCACAGGTTTAGGCTATTTCCAAAGGACCTGTGGTTCTGAGGGGATGCTGATAGTTTTAGGTCAGAATGACACATTGAGAAGCACTGTGTGTGTGATCACACATACATGACATATTACATACATTAGTAGCTTGTGTATACATACATAGATACCACTATTAAACGGTATTAAAGGAAAGGTCTTCTGTAGTAAACCCTTGATTCTGTTTGTTTTCAGCTATGATATAAAAAAGTTGATTTTTAAGAAAGTTAAACTTGAAGTGAATTTTTGCTTCCACTAAAATTTACAAAGTGAAAAGGTATGTTGAACAGATATATTAAAGTTCCCAGTTGTTCAAGACAAAATATACGCTAGTACCTTTTTCTCTTGAAGAACAAAAGTCCCAGTGTTCTGTAGAAGACATGTTAGATCTGTGTGAACGGATGATCTCTAACACTCAAAACGACCATCTTTTACATGTAAGAAGAGGAACCTTTTCAGAGGAATCCGGGCAGTGACAGTGTGTAATTCCCTAACAGGGCATGGTGAAACCACACATTCCCCGTATTTCATCGTCAGGCACAATTTAAAAGCCCTCATGATTAATACTTCATCCTAATGAACACAAAGAATGTACTTTATTCTTACGTCAATGAATATAAAATCATTTTGGACCTACCACATCAAGGACACGAGCTAATGGATTCATGTACGTTGCCTTACACTGTAAGTACTTTACTTACATTCACCAACCTTTTTTTTTTTTTTTTCCTTTTGGTGGGACGGGATCTTACCATTATTCTCTACAGCTTGGTAGGCAATTCACATTTCAACACTTCTCATTTACCTTCACAATCTTGATGAGCGTCTTCAGCTGGTATATATGAAGCTGCAGGTCTAGTCTCTCAGCCAGCCACACACAAATGACTTTCATGGAATTGCTGTACCATTGCTGAAAAGGAGGATGGGGGTGGAGGGGAGGAGGACAAAAAAGAAAACCAATCTCTGCAGTATTCATTTAGCAGATTCAGTAACGAGAGGGTAATGAAGCATTCTGGAATGACCACGGATCAGCACTTGAAGTCAATAATGCTATAATTTCCTATTAACAGAATTGTATGTTTTGCTGGCAAATCTGCTGAGCTGACCTCGGCTGTTCTTTACATGAATTAGCAGTACAGTGTTTGGCTTTGGCTGTAACATATTCAGGGAAATCGTGTTTTTGCACTTTGCAGCCTACTGGCCTGCTTTGCAATTTGTAAGTAACAATGGGTACTAAATACATATTATGGGATTGAATGACTGGCCAAGCTACAGGGGGGAAAAAGAAAAAAACACCAGGTAAATCATTTCGAAGGGAAATTTTCTATTTGTCTTCATGCTATGAAAAATTCACACATGACTGTTAGGACATAAGTCATGCTGTCAATGACTAGAAATAACATTTTGAAGGATGGGCAAAAAGTATCCACAGCGTACTAAATGGTGATCCTCGATCATGCTTTTGTATAAACCAGTTATGAAGCAGTTGCCAAGATGTTTTAACACTACTTAAATCAAGATTTACTGAGCCCACAGGAAGGAGCCTTGTATAAGAATCAGAAAGCATGTCGTTACCCAGATTACGAGAGGAAAAGATCTGTATTGCTTTGCAAGTATGTTTTTGAAGGCTTCATAATTTTTCCATTTATTACAACTCTATTGAGAGAAAACCCTGAAATTCTTTGAAGGCAATTTCCTACTCTGTACAATGTAATGTACACTAAGCAGCCAAAAACATAAAAATGTCTCCTATTTTCAAAAAGGGCATCTGATATTAATTGTGACAGTACTATCAGAGATTCCGTGATTATATGTCAGAGCCAGGTGTTGATAATGGTGTAACAAATGCTGCCATTCATTGAGATTACAGAGAAATATCAACAATGATTTGGCTTTTACAAAACGAAAGAAGTGTTTTGAAAGAGATTTTGTGTGCTGCTTATGTACATAAATATGACAACACATCACATATGTACCTGTTTTTAGTATCTAAATACAGATTTTTTTTAAAAAAAATCTTATTTTTCTCCAAATAATAACACAGTTAAATTTAACTTCTAAGAAATCCTAAATTCTGCAAGACTAAAATTCATCCAGACTTGTATTTGTATTGGTAATTTAATGGTGATACAATTTAACAAAATAAGAAATGGTAGTTTAAGTAGACGTTAAAATGAGTTAGTCACACATTTTATTTATTTCTATTAATTTGTTACTCTATTGAAGATTCAGGCATAAAATGTGACAAGCAAATTAAAATGGACTGATTTACTAAATATGACCAAACAGATGACTGAAAACGCCAAGTTTTACATTTCAGAGTAGACTGAGATTTTAATAGATATTTTTCTTTCCTAATGAATGCTTTTTTTACTGCTAGTATATGTCAAAATAATATTAAAAAGTTTTATAAAATTACATCCCTAGCCTCATTAATTTTTGTAAAACACAATGCTAGTAGATGCGACACTTACACTGATATGTGAAGCCTCAGAATCTTTGTGGATAGAAGCTGCCTTTTATTTCTGACACTAATTCTACATTCACTTATTCCAAATTACATAGGCTTAAGTTGCTTCTATGGTTGGTACTGAATTAGCATACAACACTAACACCCTATTCCTACACCACACTGAACAAACACTTTGGAACCTAAAATGCTGTCAAAATGGATTAGACTTTTAAAAATTCTAGTCTACTTGTATGGGATAGAAAATTTTCTTTCTTGTTGCAGGAGAGAAAATATTATACATTGTATAAAGGCTAGCATGACACAGCAGTTAATACGTTAGTGTACAGAGGTGCAGGATGAGGTCTATAACACTAGAGAAATGAAGTAATCCCTTAAAAACCAGTCAACATACACCTTTAAAAAATCCTCATAATTTCAAATTAGTTTTACTCAATTTCCCATCATGTATGAATGATGCTCATGATAATGCTATAATGGAATGGACATTTAATAGAGTACAGACGTTATTAATAATCTAACATTTCTAACACAGTACCCAAATTGTAAATGAAGAGAAAATGAACTTGAGAACAAAATAATCTAACTGTAACTATAGAAATTGAGATGAACAGGGTGACAGTTAAGGAAAATGTTTAAGCCACTTTTTGTCACCTTACTTTGGACGCAAACATGATCAAAAAGAAAAATCTCTAAGAAACATTATCCTATCCATTCAGAATGTGTGCTTTTGACAGAATAACTGTAGCTAACTTGAGGAAATGATTAGGGGCAGCAGTGGCTGAGGGCTCAGGGCGGCTCATGCTGCCAGGAAGCACAGGCTAATGGCACTGACATCACGCCACCGCAGCTCTCCTGCCTCTTCCCACCCCAACAAAGCCACCAAACAGAAACTTCTTGCAGCTCCCTACTTCAGGTGCAGTTTTCTAAGAGGTGAAAAATACAGTAATAGCACCTTCCTTTCCATTTTGAGAACGGCCAACACTGGTAAGCTTCATTTGCCAAATCAAACCCAAGCAAACCTTTGCATGGAACAAAGAAAATCAAAAACTTGGTAGAATACGCAGAAAAGTCAGAATGCTGGGAAATATCCTTTTCATTTTGGGAAAGTTGATTTTATAAAGTAACTTAGGTGACTACTTGCTCTTCCCCTCAAGGGCACAGAAGGGCGCAGGTGCTTGTGCCAAAGCCCAGGGAATGGCGTTTTCTTTCGTTTTGGTCTACTCAGGAATAAAGCAGTAACTGTATATCTTACAATTTTTTTTTTTCCTCCACAGCAATCCATGATAGCAGTCTACCACTTTAGCCATAAAAAAAGCTCCTTTTTTCCTTTTGTGGTTCATTCAGCTCCTGTAAGGGCATGCATCACTCACTTCATTTTCTTGGGATATCTCTTTTAAAGCAAAAATAAAAGAAAAGGAAAGGCTGGGGTTGACTCTGTGAGACCCTTGTATTTATTCACACTTATTGTGCATGACTGTAGACTGGTAAATCATATTAGCAGCCCGTCTCCCCATCAAGCTGCTACTTGCTTTCCAGCCCTGGGAAGGTTCAACAAATCAACAGGAGCACGGAAAACAGAACATCAGTCTAATCTAGTGTTTAAGGTGAAGTTTTCAAACCCAATCTAAGAAGATCTTTAGAGCAAGCAACAAGCTGAAGGGCTCAGAAGGTGGTATTGACAATGAAAGAGTGTGGAAATATTGAGACGCATAGCACTTGTGCATTTTTAATAACAAGAGGGTCAACAAGGCCACAGCTCCCTCAGTGCCAGGAGCTGCCACTGACTATGGAAATTGCCACACCAGGGCCATAAACGCTTGCAGTTCATCAGCTTTCTTAAACACCCCGAACCCCCTCCGTGGACCTTTAGTCTTGAATTAACAAACCAAAGCAATGAAAGAGGGTGCAGGCTGAATGGCTGGCATTGATCCCCAACTGTGTCAGCACTGCTACAGGCCCTGAAAATCTCTCTCCATTGTCAATAGAAATTGACAAACCTCCGTTCCTAAATAGTGCAGCTGAGCCGGGCGGGATGCACGCAGCTGTAAAGGGCTCTGCTCTCGGGGCTCGGGAGCACGAACAATGGCACAAGCATGAGCTCTTTGTCAGCCTGAGACTCGGCAATTTTCTAACAAGGATTAAAGTTGTTTCTCCGCAGAGCGGGTGAAAAGAGATTTAGCAACATGCCGTGCTTTCTTCATGCAAGTTAAAGAGAAGTAGTTAAGGAATGCCATTATTCTGTTGACTAGAGGAGATACAAAACAAATATATTAAATATGCACAGCTCCACCCTCCCCTTTTCCCCTCTCATTTATAACATTTGGAGGATGATTCCATTAAGTATAACACTTATCGCCTGGGAACAAGCACTTCACATTTATTTTGGAAGTTTTATTTTTCAAAAGTCCAGCTGCTTGCCACCTGGAACGAGGTCTCAATACATACTAATGCACAATGCCTTTAGACCCTCTGTGGTTGATATTCCTAAATCTGAATCACAAGACCTCATAGGGCTTATATATTGAGGCTGCTTCAAGTAAGTGGTTTCTGGCAGAATGCAGCTTCTGATGATGATGGCGAAGGAAAAATAGCTGCTTTGCCACAGCACACATCTATGATTTTTTTTTTTTTCTTAAGTGTTTAGATTTTTATTGATTATGAATTGGCACAACTGGTTAGTATATTTTCATCCTTCTCCAGCTCTGCTTGTCTCAACAGGTAAAAAACAGAAAGGAAGGAAGGAAGGAGGGAGGAAGGACCAACACTTTCCAGGGTACTAAGGCGTGGTGGAATGGCTAGATTCCCAGAGTGGACATGTGTTTCCTCATTTATTCAAGACTAGCTGTCTTAAAGAGCTCAATCACTGGCTTTTTTACTGGAGGAAAACCCTAAAAAAAAAAAAATCTCATTTTAGCAAATGTGAACTAAACTGAATTCAAGAACAAACAAAAATTTAAAAATATTGAAGGCTTTGGAACAAGCGAGAACTATAAGCCATTCTCTAGGACCACTTAGTGGCTCTAGAGAGAAATGAAAACTTGGAAAGCCTGGTGCCCACAGTTTTAGCAGTACCCTGAAAATATGCACACTCTATTATTAGGTATCTATTGTTACTTTTGCCAGCAGCACATCTACTTAATAACTAAATTTGTGGCTCTATTTCACTCACCTCCCATTCCTTAAACACTCAAATGCAAATTTGATATTAATGTAAATTTGATACAATAATGCCACCCCACTCCATCGCAATTCACGGCACCCCACAGAAACCAGCATATGCAGAATTACAGAATGGTTCCCAAAGCACAATTTTAGGTCTCAAGCAGAGCCCTTTACAGTGTGTGCTGGCTTAGGAAAGGATGAAGGGCTGTATTTAAGGAAAACTGAAACCAACTTGTTACAACTGAAAACACAGGGTGTGTTCAACCTAACTGACACACGATAGCTCTGTCAACTAGGAGCAGA